CTATATATATGTATATATATATATATATATACATATATATATATATACATATATATATATATATATATATTTGATGGCAGGTATGATTTTCCACTCATTTGCCTGTGATACTGCTCAGCATCTTATTTTCTGGGCTTTGAAAAATGTACCTGTTGATATAAATGTTTACCTAGACGGAATCTGGTACCTAGCTCTGCAACTTGATGTAGTCACTAGACAATGGACTCACATTACGGCTGTAACAGTCTTCTTCCTAAAATGTAGTCTGTATTTTCTTCCTCATAAAATTTAAGTGACCCACATTTCATTTGACTGGGTCATTTCTTTCTCTTTCTCTTTTTTCTCTTAAAGATTTATTCATGAATACAGAACTGGGATACAGGCCAGAGGTGTAGGAACAGTGAGAGGATTCACCTGAGACAGAGCGGGGAGCAGAACAGACAGATCAAGGAAGTCCACTGCTGAGGGGAGCAGCGGGTCAGGAGAGGTCTGCCCGGCGTTGTGGGTCACTCCCTGGCTGGGAATTGAGCTTGTAAGATGGCTGTGTCTAGGGTCATGGAGCTGTGCTTTAACCCGTTGTGCCACCAGGGAGGGCCTGGTCATTTCTTTGTCTTTAATGATAAAAATAAAATTTTACAAAATATCCTCTTTTTTCTTCTGGCCAGTGACATCCAGTTCCATGCACAATAATAAATGTGGGTTTTATATTTTATGTTCTGATAGGCCAAGTTTGATTTTGCATTTATCTGTTTGTCTCTGAAGTGCTGGATAGCAGGTAATTTGGAAAATAGATATAAATTTTGAAATGTAGACATCTTTATTCTGTGTTCTTGCTCATTAGAGATGAATGTTCTTCCCATGAATGTCAGATGATAGCTAGAGACTTAAATATCCTAAAAAGTAATATTTAAAATGCATCTAGCAAATCAGTTCTACTTCTAATGCTGTGTTTTGCATGTTTAACCAACTGTTTTATTTTTACACTTCTTTACAATAACACTGGTAATACATACAAGTAATTATTTGCACAGAAAGAAAAGTATTTTGAATTTAAGAGATTTAGACATATTGAATAAAGTGGGGAGTCCTCTTTACTTTCTAATAAAAACAAGAGAAAAGGTCCCAATGCCTGTCTTTAAAGGGAAAACCAGTGTCTCTTGATTTGCTGCTTTGAGCACAGAGTAGCGTTATTCAGACTCAATTTTCAGCCAGCGGGTCCATGCATCTACTGGTCACTGCTACATAGTCAACTGCACCCTGGGACCTGCATGCAAGTAGTCAAGGTAAGAGCAAAGTATTACTTAATGCAAACTGTCAGCTATTTCTAAGTATGTTTTATTGGAAATGTGGGTCTGTGTGTCAGTTAAATGATGCCTGATGTCTCTCTGATTCTAAGTTTGAAAGAAAATGAGATGAGGGCAGGAACGAGCCTTTTCCTAAATCCAGTGCCTTTTCAGTGATGAAAGAAACCCCCAATAAATTTGCCTATTTAGCTCTTAGGCAGAAAAACATAGTAAAGTCAATCATCCGTGATGG